TGTGGCCGCCAGCGCCAGAGATCCTGAACACTGTCTGGCAACACTTGCCAAGATCACGAACTCTGTCTGGCAACACTTGCCAACAAGAGTGGCTGGCAACGTCAAAAAAGAAAAGGCGCGAAAGTTCGTTGGATTTTGTCCGGGTGTTGCCCGAGGATGTCTGTGACAGTTCTAACCTTTTCTAATAAAGTTCTTTTTTGTTACTGTTCGTGTTTGCCTGCTTAATGTTAGATCTAAACATCAGTAGGATTGAATGACAAACTATAATAAAAATTTATTAAAAATCTTTTTCTAATTGCATTTCATGTTTGATGAAAAGTTAAAAACTAAAATCATTTTCTTTTATAAAAATTTGTATCATATATTTATAAAATATAAATAAAAAATACATTAAAAAATATTTAAAATGTATTGTTTAACTTGTTCTACTTTGTAGATATTAATTTTGAATTCATAATAATACTTTACTCATGCCCATCACTGGTACAGTCAGGTGGTCTGGATATTTTGGGTCCCATCCCTTACCACCCAGCCACCCATAACCATTGTGGGCCTGATCAAACCTATAATGGGTTTGCTAAAAAGGCCCTCTTAGTGCCCGTAGGAATGGAAGAGTTAAAAAACAAATAAAAAAATGAAAAATATACAGCTAAGTCCATAAAAAAAGGCTGCGGAAGAATGAGCCAATATATTCATTTTAATATGATATTTTTTTCATCATTATTTAATAAATTTTTATCATATTAAATTATTTAATTTAGTATGATAATTAATAAATACTAAAGCAATAATATATATAAGATGTGATATTACATATCAATAATACATTATTTACAAACTGTTTAACAAATTTGTAAGTTTTGCTAATTATTTCTTATTTTTTGACTAAATCGTCATACCTCATGCAAATGAACAGTATATTGATTGGAAAGAAATCGAGGCGTATGTGTCAGAACAAGACGTCCATTGCCTTGAATTATCACTAATGGATATCGATGTAGAAATGCATCAGGAAAATGGCTTCCACTATGACTTGTAACAGAAAACTGTAGTCTTCCATTATATGATAATACCTAATAAATAATATTTATATTATCAATAATTACAACATAATAGTGTAAACAGTATAGTAAATATTATAAATAACTTTATAAATAGTTATGATATCTTTCTTGTCTATATACTTTAAGGAATTAAATAATATATATATATATATAACTAATATCTAATTATTTATTATTACAAATAAAAATTTAATAAAATTATATTTACTTTATCTCCTAAAAATTCTTTTGGTAAATTCCAATATAAAGGTTGATCTAAAACATATGGTATATTCATTTTAGTATTAAGAGTTTGTCCTGGTATTACTCTGAAACCTTGAAGAGTAGATATTTCATCATTTCCGACTCCGAATTCCACTTCTCTGTCTGGTGCTGTTAACTACGTATTCATATTTAATAAAGTTTAGTATAAAACTTATATTTTGCTAATAAAGTTTAAATTTTATTAAATATTTAAATGAAAGAAATACCTTTGACCACATTAAATTTGCTTGATTACACTGTTGAGTGCGACCAAAACAAAAACATTCAAAACATCCTTTAGAATATGTTTCTAATAATCCAAATGCATTTTCTTTACATCTATCACATGTTTTTCCAATAACATTTTCCTATTAAATATATTATTATATAAGTTTAAATATTTATTTTAAAACATCTTAAAACATTAGTAACATTATTTTATATGCTTGCATTATTATGCAAAAAATTTTACACAATTTACTAAATATTTAAATATTTATCATCGTCATTCTTTGCCTAATTCCTACATTTTACACAATGATAAACTCCTGTATAAATCAAAATCTTTAAAATAATGGAACTATATACACAGCATATATAGTCATATAATAAACATATTCTGTCTAGTAATTAATTTAAACCTATGCTGAAAAAGTGTTATATTTTATTATGTTGTTGAACTCTGCTCGATTTTTGAATTGCTCTCTTCCAATTGTTACTATGATCCAGACTCTCATTTCATATTGTGCCACTACATGGCAAAAAGTTTTCTTTCTGTTGAAATAAGTATATACCTTGAGTATAAAATAGGTGTATATAAGACATAAATCATTCTTGTGTTTTTTGTGGAAGTTTTTCTACAGCGAGACTAATCCATGTCCGACAAGAATTTGTATAACTTTTATTATTAACATTAGCATTAACATGTGGTTGGTGACCCTGACAATGGTCTTACAATACGGCTGCTGAAGTATTTTATGGTTGGTCACATACTTCTACACTGTTTTCATATATAAGGAAATTATTTTAAAGAATGATTCTTGAAGTCTAGGAACTCATAAAGACTGATACATTCATCTTATAATTTCTGTTATTTCTGATACTACAAGTTCTAATGAACATCTGGTATGAAACACAAGCTGGCAGAGAGTCAACAGAAATCACATCTATTTTGCAAAGATATACAAAGACATAGCCAAAAAATATGTAATAACTGACAAGTTTGAAGGACAAAATAGAAACTGGAATATTTTTTCCTCGATATGTTTGTTGTTATTATACAAAGATATAGATGGTCAAATGTGGCATTATGCATCATGTTGGACTCTTATAGACACTGTCATTGTGTTTCACAATATGATTCATCAAAATTGCTTTCATGATTTGCATCTTATTCTGATGTTAAAAAAACTTACATATTGTCTACTATTTTACTGAATGCATTAATTTATTATTATTGTGGCATTTTTAAAGTAAATTGCACTTTCAAGTATCAGTTATTTTACACACATTTGTGCAATGCTGAAAAGTATATTTTGTCCTTGGATAAATGTGGACACACTGTATAATATGCTGTATGTGTTTTCTTGTGAACCAATAAAGAAGGCCAATCAATCAGACTACATACAGGTGATCAAAATTAAAGTGCCTCTATTCAACATTGTCTGGAAGGATGAGTAGCAGTCCAAACTCAGCCAAATTTGATTGTTTTGATGGTTTGGAATACATAGAAATCGTTTATGTCCAAAACTGTCAAAATTCATTATATATTTGAAAAATAATTCTATTTTTTATTTGTAAAATTTAGAAATAATTATAATTTTACCACAATAAACCCCCTAAACAGTGCAGTAAAAATTTATTTCTCTAACATTTTTGATCTTCTGGTAATTATAATTTTAGCAAAATTCATCAGCTCTGTCAAAGAAATTCTACTGAATAATGGTATATAATTGTTTTAAATATATAATCTAATTAATCAAATATTTTTAAAATATATGGTCCAGAAATATAAAATTATATTATTTAAATCTCAATTTACCTTACAGGGACATTGTCCTCTTTCATCACATTGACATTGACCTTCATCCAGATGACATCTAGTAAGATCAGTACCTGCAGAATTGCAATCACATTTGAAACAATTTGGAAATTGATAATAACCAAATTTGCATTTATCACAATGTCGTCCTTCGAATCCTTCTTGACAGAAACAATTTCCTGTTACGTCATCACATTTTTGATTGATAGATCCCCTAGGATTGCAGTTACATGGCTGAAATTACATCAAGTTTAAAAATAAAATGCATTTTCAACTGTAATGTTTTAATAACAAGAGTTATTAATTATCACTATTAATAACTTAATATTTACTTCACAACCTCCAATAGGATCATAACCATGGGCATTTGGAGTACAAAACTGACATCTATCTCCTTCTGTGTATGGAGGACAAACACATCTACCATTTTTGGGATCGCAGATTCGTCCTGGTACGTCACATGGATCACATTCTGTAAAAAAATTAATTTCACATAAATCTTAAAATATTGATATAATGACAAAATTTTAATATTTTTATTACTTTTAGTGAAATGATAATTTGATTTCTTTTTTATATTTNTAAGTCAAGATTTTAAACGTTCGCAAAAAACAATTTCTTTGAACTATTTTTTGAGCGTAAAAAATAAAACTGATATAAATTTTCTCATAAAATAAAAAAATATATAATTATTTTATTAAAGTTTTATACTTCTTCGGTTTTGCGTAGCAATTTATACTAATTAATAAATCTATTTCGCTAAATAATAAAAAGATACTTAATAAATAATGAGCATTTATTCAAATTTCTGTAGATGACACTCGAAAGGTTAAAACTGGAAACTATTTAATGGATATTTAAAGAGATAATTCAATGTTTAGTGCGCATCACTGTGCCTGTTTAAATGACGCTTAAGAAAGTCCAGAAATATAAAATTATATTATTTAAATCTCAATTTACCTTACAGGGACATTGTCCTCTTTCATCACATTGACATTGACCTTCATCCAGATGACATCTAGTAAGATCAGTACCTGCAGAATTGCAATCACATTTGAAACAATTTGGAAATTGATAATAACCAAATTTGCATTTATCACAATGTCGTCCTTCGAATCCTTCTTGACAGAAACAATTTCCTGTTACGTCATCACATTTTTGATTGATAGATCCCCTAGGATTGCAGTTACATGGCTGAAATTACATCAAGTTTAAAAATAAAATGCATTTTCAACTGTAATGTTTTAATAACAAGAGTTATTAATTATCACTATTAATAACTTAATATTTACTTCACAACCTCCAATAGGATCATAACCATGGGCATTTGGAGTACAAAACTGACATCTATCTCCTTCTGTGTATGGAGGACAAACACATCTACCATTTTTATTAAATTATTTAATTTAGTATGATAATTAATAAATACTAAAGCAATAATATATATAAGATGTGATATTACATATCAATAATACATTATTTACAAACTGTTTAACAAATTTGTAAGTTTTGCTAATTATTTCTTATTTTTTGACTAAATCGTCATACCTCATGCAAATGAACAGTATATTGATTGGAAAGAAATCGAGGCGTATGTGTCAGAACAAGACGTCCATTGCCTTGAATTATCACTAATGGATATCGATGTAGAAATGCATCAGGAAAATGGCTTCCACTATGACTTGTAACAGAAAACTGTAGTCTTCCATTATATGATAATACCTAATAAATAATATTTATATTATCAATAATTACAACATAATAGTGTAAACAGTATAGTAAATATTATAAATAACTTTATAAATAGNTTCACAACCTCCAATAGGATCATAACCATGGGCATTTGGAGTACAAAACTGACATCTATCTCCTTCTGTGTATGGAGGACAAACACATCTACCATTTTTGGGATCGCAGATTCGTCCTGGTACGTCACATGGATCACATTCTGTAAAAAAATTAATTTCACATAAATCTTAAAATATTGATATAATGACAAAATTTTAATATTTTTATTACTTTTAGTGAAATGATAATTTGATTTCTTTTTTATATTTTCAATTATTAACATTAAAAACAATTCAATGATAATTGTTAATGATATGCTTTAGAATTACACTCTAATTTGTTATATTTATACATCCTAAAGAAATAATTACATCCAACTACTTAAAACATAGAATCAAGAGTTAGAATTAGAATTTAACTAGTTGAAATTTTTTCCTTGGGTTAGGTCAGATCCTCAATGGAGTGAACAGTGTTGGATAGTCTGTCCTTCATGCAGGGCTAGGGCCATCAAGAGAGTAAGCTGAGGATTTTTCCCAAGCCTGGAGAAAACAGAGGCCCTTATTGTTCCTATCTCTAAAATTAATGTTAATTTTACTAACAAAAGTAAAATCTTTAAAATTGTTTTCTATTAATAAAGAAATACTATATATATTTCATTTGTTCAGAAAAACCAAATGACAAAAGGTTCCACTAAAAAGGCAAAATGGTCCTGTTCTACCCCCAGACCCCATACAAGTTTTCAATGGCCCTGACAAAAGCCCAATATATTTTGATCAAATCATTAAATCCAAGTCACTCAAGAGTAGAAGCCTAAGTCCATTACTATCTTGGTCATCCAGATATCAACCAATTAGCATTCATTTTCCTTTAAGTTTGTGAATGTTAATTGTTGATTCTAAATAAGTAAGTACAGGTAGCCCTCAGTTTACGTTGGCTCAATTTACACCGATTCACAATAACGCAGCTATGCAATTTGCCGTTTCCCGGTGTAATTCTCCGATTTTCCCTATATCAGACTGATTTTCATTTCAGTGTTGACGTATTTGCCGAGCTGCGACATTGTACATTCGTTAAAACAAAGATTTTTATAAATTTTTTTTATATTTAGTTTTTATAATTTTTATAAAAATATAATTTTTACATTTATATTTAGTTTTTCTGTTTAATATTATTGGGTATGTATACATTTGCATTAAATTAATATTAAAACACTAAATGTTTAGGTACCCACAAGTCAAGTTATCAAACTTAATAATCCAATAAATGCATCCAAATCCATAGTGCCAATGAATGTATCCCATATCAGTTCGTTTAGGAAAACACCTTACGACGCAGTAGCAGTTCCGGCAATCACAAACTACCGTTAGTGAGACAAATCTACTTCTCGTTGGCCAGACGATACTTTTTTTATTAGCCAGACGATATCTATCTCTCCTTATTCACCTTCAATTTTCCCGCTCAAACTGACCTTATACATGCGCTACGGCGACCGGTGGTCGACCAATCAGTGTCTCCGCTCATCCGTAGCTCTATGTCAGGTTAACGTATCCTTTCAACTATGGAAAGTTTGATGGATGAACTTTGTGAGTTAGACAATGATTGGGAGCGAAGTACAAATGTAAAAAGAAGCATCATTGCATCCATTCGACCATATTCCGAAATTCTCAATGAAAGAAAACAAAAATGTAAACAATTAATTAAAGATGGATACTTTTTCCGAAAAATTAAGAGATCCGAAACTAAATTTTTTTAACAAAAACATTTCACTTTATTTTACGATAAAATATATTTTAAAAATTAAAAATTTATATGTATTTTGTATTATATTGTATTAATAAACAAAATTATTTGCTTACTTTTCACTTATGTAGAACATAGGTTATATACCTCACTGTAAATATGAGTTCGTTTTACGCCGATTCCGGCTTTTGTAGGAACAGAACTGCAGTGTAAACCGAGGGCTACCTGTATAGTTGTAACTGACTTTTATCAGCTCTACTCTTGTTTAACATACAAAACTATAATTAAATGCTTACATACTTTTAGAAATCTGGATGATAAAAATATAATTATTCAGGATAGACTTTTCAAAATTTAACATTACAGCATCAGATCTACCTTAAAATTAAAATACTAATACAATTTTTATTTTATTTTTTATGATATATCAGGGTTTCTAAAACTATTTAACAACTTATTTTACTTCTATGTTAATATAGTTGTTTAACATGTTCACTGCCAGTTGATGAGATTTTGCATCATTTTCACATGGAATTTTTGGTAAATGGAGTTCACATTATTTTTCAAATGCTATTTATCATCATCTGGAAGTTTCTGAGATTATATTTTATTGCTTTGTTCCTTAGTCTCCCAGAAAATATTTAATTATAATAGCTTTTCATTATTTACATCAATTGTTCTCAAGCTTTCTGAGGCTGTAGAACACTATTCATACATATACTTTCTATTTAGCAGAGCATTAGCATCAATATATTCAAAAATTGATATTCAATTCCATGTTTACTATTCTCACAAAATAATGAACTTTATTGTATTGAATAAAACAGTAACATACAATTGTCTACAAATAAAGTAATATGTTATAGTACATTGGAATAAAGTTTAAATGAAAACTTTTAAAATCTTTTTTTGTGGAACACTTAGGGTAAGTTTGCAGAACAGTGTTCCATGGAAAATAGGAGTTCTGTAAACTATATGAGCATAAATGAGTGATTTTAATATGATATAAAACCACTGATTTATGTTCTCAGAGAGGTGCCAATGACTCAAGTTTGTGTTATCACATATCATTTTGTAAAGATTGCTTGAAATGAAAAAATTTTTTATGCTTTATCTGTGTAAAACAGTGACAAATTTTATGAAAAAACAAAAAAGTACATTTGGGGCAATTTAGCTTTACAGCCAGTGATGAAAAATGTATTAAGGAATGATCTGAACTGTTTAATTTTAGAGTAGAAATTAATTTTAAAAAGTGTACTTGAATCAAAACATTTCAAAAGCTTTACTCTACTAAAGAATATTTTTCTTATAATTTTAATTTAAAAGATATATGAATTTTATATCAAAACAATAAAAAGTTTAAATTGTAACAATTATAATTTATTTAGCTATTTTATTAATTATAAATCAAATAATAAGACCTACGACGACATCCTCTTGATGTATAACCATAATAACCACTAAGACATCGATCACATTCCTTGCCACCAATTCCAGGTTTACAATTACATTGTCCAGTAGTTTCCTCACAAACAGGTGATAAAATTCCAGTATTGTTACAACGGCATTGTTCGCATCCATCCCTTGATGCTATATTCCAATAACCAGGCTAAGAAAGAGATTTAAAAATCAACTAAACATATGAATGTTTTATGCATATTCTCTAAAGGTTACAATTACGTAATAAAATATCATACTTCACAGTGATCACATCTTCGACCAGTGACATGATGTTTACAAGCACACTGTCCAGATGTTTCATCACACCGACGATCAACAGAACCAATAAGATAACAATCACATGCTAGAAAATAAAAACCACTCATTATTTTAAGTATAAAAAATTTAAATGAAAATCAAATCAAATTAAACTATGAATGATATTCTTAGATAGAAATATTAAAATTCTATTTATCCACAGTATATTTAAAATATTTTCTGACATATACAAAATTAAGTAAAAGAGGCCTCAGACTGATTCAATAATTCAGAAGTTTATTACAGAAAGTTGAAAATTTCTTAAAACCAATTAAAATGCACTTACTTAATTAAAAAATAATAATAAATTTTAATAAATTTCTATGAAATTTTTGGAATAAAACTATCCATTTTCCATCAATAGAAGAAATTTTAGGAGAAAGAATTTGGAAAATTGTTAAAGTATAATTAAAACAGAACCATTTAGAATATCTGTAGGAATAATTGAGATAAAATGTACATTTTCTGATTTAACAATGAATACTTGGTTATTATTATTAAAATAGAAAAAGTGTAATAAATAATGTTAAACTAAACTTTGTGACAGAAAACTCATCTTAACACTTTCATTGACATTCATCCACTCAAATCTTTTTGCCCACACTTTCAACTCACTAGATTGGCACATTATCTATGTCTTTGCAGGAAACCCTCAAAATTCGTTTTCTGATTCCCACATATCTTAATTTAAAAATTACTATTAAACTATACTGTCCTATTTTTCATTAATTTCCACAAATTTCCATTCAAATTTTTTAGTTAAAAGAATCTTCATTATTTTAAATCTTTTTGCCCACTAAAAAGCCTTTTTTTTATATTATGGATAACAGTACGTTAAAGTTTGAGGTTCCAATCAAGACTCAAATCTGGGTCCTTAGAGCAGTAGGCTAAGGCTATCATTTATACAAATCTTTATCATCATCTATATAAACATGACGATTGTCTTCTCATCATGTCTGTAAACACAAGATGTCTATAAAATAAGCCCCATTTTCAAAAACTTATTATGCAAATACCATGGTATACTAGATGTGGCATTTGCACCTGCAACACCCCAGGTTCCACATCTGGTTACTTACCAGTGGAGGAACAATGGACAATACCAAGAAAAAAGACCATGTGAGGAGATAAGTCAATGTGCACAAGGAGGGATAAAAAGAGTAGTTGTCCTCAGCTCGCATTGAGTCCTGTATACATGGTCCAAGTGGTGTATGACATTCTTTATTAGATAAAACTTTGTTCAGTTACCTTGGTGTTGTTTGTTTTATCTGCACTATCTAAATCACTGGCAAATATAAATTCCATGACAACCACAATAAGGACATTGTTGTTTCTTCCCAAGTATTCTGTCTAACATCCTGGAAGCACATGATTGATATTCACCAAAAACACTAGATGACATGTGACATATGATGAATCCAGGTATATCTCCCACACAATGAATTACAAGTAAATCAAAGTGGGACTCACTTCATAGACACCCTGTATTAGTTTAATTTTTAAATAATTTATCAGTATAAATGCATTTATAAATATTTTAAAATAAAACTAGAAATATTTGAAAACTGCTAAAAGAAACGCTTTTAATTCTTTACAATGCAAATGAATATACATCAAAACATTTTATGCATAAATTAAAATATATTTAAACAGATAAATTAGCTAATTAAGAATGAAAAATTTGATTAAAATAAGACAAAGAATAAAAGTGATCTGAACAATTGTACTTTAATATAAATTTTATAATTTTCTGAAGCAAGTTTAATAAAACCAATATAGAAAAAACATCTAGAGTTAATACAAATACAGTTGTGTAATAAGTGTAAATCATTTGATTAAGTGAGAAAAAAAGGTAAAGAAAATATTACACCTTTACATCCTTCTTCAGAATATCCATAATGATTCTCAAGACATGAATCACATCTTGCACCAAATACACCTGGCTTACATATACAACGGCCAGTTATTGGATCACAAGTTTCTGATTTTGCACCAATCCGATTACACCAACAAGGAACACAACCGGCTTCAATGTTGCCATATCCATCCTAATATAAATATGCAATTTTATGTTATTTATTGTTAATTATTTTTAAAAATATATTACAATATTTATTAATTAATTAAAAAACAGATGTGTGCAATAAAACAAAATGCAACAACAAAAGGCAAATTAAATAATTCAATATCTACAAAAATAATGTTTTTTTCATTTCTAAACATTTTAAAATCATTTCTCCAATCATTAAGGTCTATCATTTTCTGTATTATTAGAGATCTTCAGACAACATTTACAGCTTGAATAGCTCCAATAAAACAGAAAATAATTGACTCTAAAATCATTAATGGTAAGTAATTACTTTTCAGCTCACATAAAATATTCATCAAAAATTTTCTTTGAAAAATTGTTTTAATTTGAGAAATATTTCAAGAGTCGTTATTGTGATAAAATAAAAAGTATATACAGTAGACCTCTATAAAATGGGTTCATATGATACAGATTCGTATATAACAGCAAAAAAATTGCGATCGTATTCATATAAACACACTAAAAGAGACTCTTATGATATGGTAAAACGTCATCGCTGACTCATGTTGCAACAGGATTGGTCAAATCTAGACCAATAGTGAATATTGTACAAACCATTGAGTTTAAATGAGCAGCAGCCCTACTAAAAACCATTTATTATTTAACAGCCATAAAATTTATATTTATATTAATGATGTCTGCAAAGTTCAGCAATTTTTTCGCAGAAAAATAATTTATCAGGAAACACATGCCCGCCATTCGATATGCTGCTCCACGATGAAAACAAGCTTAAGAAATGGCATCATTGAATAATGCACACTTGGTAAGTAATCCTACAATTTTTTGTTTATAGCATAGTTTATATGGATTATTCCCAAAAAATTATATGTGTTTTAGAAATGTTGAGTCAAATTAGTCTAGAATCGATTAATTTTATGGAAAAAAAACCTTTCAAACAGCTGTAGTCCATAAACTGCATACATGCTGGGCTGTAATTGGCTCATGTATTTAAGGACTCGTAAAACACGAATTTCATAAAACACAGAACGTATCTACTGTGTTATAGGGTGTCTACTGTATATTGATTTCTAAAAATTCATTTCCATGCATTACAAAAGCTGCTTGCAATTAATCTGCTCATTTGTCCAAAACCTTGCTTTCTCTACAGTTTTTTTTTTTTTTTTTTCAATCTGTCAACTCTCTCTACAAACAGGTGTTTCTTAATTATTACATTTTATTTCTCTTACTTCCTTATTCAATTTATTGTGTAGATTTTCTACACTGTCTTTGCTATTACATTTATTACATTGAATAGCATACCCATTTTTAATATGCATTGGCTGGCTGCAGTTGAGTCCATGGGTATCCTTCTCTTCTGTTGGAGGTACAGATTCCATTGACAATGATCTCCTCAGCCTCTATTGGAAGTTGGTCACACTTGATAGGGTTGACTGAGATGACAGTGCTGGTGGCCCCGGGGCTGTGTTGAAATGTATTCCAAAGCGGAAAATGACAAAGAAGCTTGGATAAAGTCTGCAGCACTGAGTATGCTTGCACTAAGGTGAAGATGCACAATTGAAAGACAGGTAATGAAGCTCTAGGTGCCCTTGAAACTTGGGTTCTTATATGTTTTTTTGGGTCGCATATCAACCACATCAATTGGTTATTTTCCCTCATCCACACCGTTTAATTGGTCATCACTTGTTGCCAGGTGTAAAACAACTGGAACTTGGGCTGTGGAATGGGTCAAAATCAATAAATGCGACCGCAACCGGAGACAGTTAATCTTAGGACTCACATAATTCATTTTTCTGTTGTTTTAAATACATAAACTACTCTCTGTTATTTTTCTCATTAGATCAAACATTTCCTTATTTGGACATACACCCACATCTTTATATCAACAATCTCATGTAATTATTTTATAACATTCCTTCATATTTTTGTGTGGTTCCAGGGTGTTTTTGGATTCTCACATCCAACTGCTCATGAAAGGTTTTAAATTCTCTTCGTACATTGCTACAGACACTACAAATTAAAATGATTTTACTAAATAAAATATATGTTCTGTTCTTAAAAAAAAGAGAAAGTAAATGTCAATCTTCATTTAAGGTTACTGTGCTTAACTATATTAGAAATGTAAAAAAAATAACAGCTTCTATGAAAGAATTTTAAGTTATTTATACATTTGATATAGTGTCTAATTGTGTTTTGTTATAATTATAAGGTTAAATAAGGTAAAACAATCAATTTTTCATAAGGCTCATTAACAAAATAAAGAATTTCTATGTTAGGCTAATTGTGCATTTTGTTTATTGCATATGTCTTTTATACTTCAATATTAAGTAATTTAACAAATTTAATTACTTAATATTGTAATATATTTATGAAGATAGATAGCTCTTTCACTGGCAAGAACAGCAATTTTTTTTGTGCTTGCTATTTCTGATAATACCTGATTCTCTCAAGAATTTCTCATACTTGATAATTTTAACATGATTAACCTGCCAGTAGGTTTTATCAAGCAAGAACCAAACCTGCCAGTGAAGAGATTAACAATAAATAATTTAATAAACTAACTTTTTAAATATATCATACTCACAACTTGTGCTTTATTTACATGTTATAATAGTAATTTATAATTAAATTATAAACTTACAGCACATCTATCACACTTTCTTCCAAGGTAATTAGGTTTGCAAATACACTGCCCTGTGGTTTGATCACACTCATCAAATTCAGAGCCATGCTGATTACAATCACATGCTATAAAAAATAAAATTAAAATAATTTATATATTTAATGATGATGATAATTTAATTATAATTTATTCAATCTAGAACAAGCTGTAAAGTCAATAACTGTACATTTCACATTTTACTTAATATATTTTTATTCAGACATCTCCAAAACTTCAATCAAAATCCAAATTATAAGAAAATTATAATTTATCAGAGTAAATTCCTTAACTCTCATCCAGGCATGGCAATTTTTGTAAAGTCATTTGGTGCATTGTATCAACTGGATACATAAAGCAAATTAATGAAATTCTTATATTTTTATTGATATATGCTTGACAATTATTATATCTTCTATTTCTACATTTTCTCTACTATCTAACAGTATAAAATACTTATGGGTTAAAAAATAAGATTTATATTTATATTTTCTGTACAGTAATTTGATCTGTAAATGCAAAAAACTAAACTTATTAAATATCATCTTACTATAAATAATTTCAACTTTCACTTATTTTATTAAATTTCACAGGATCTTATTATTTTTCAACTTCAGGGTAGTAAAGCTTTGTATATTTTCTCCCGCAAAAGTAATAGACTCTACTACTTCCCCACCATGAAGGACAACAAAGTGCTAATCATTTTATTACTTTTATTTTATTATTATTATTTTATTACATTGTTTTCAAAAACTCTGGTGTCTGTCAGTAGTGGGTTAAATGACTAACAAATATTTTTCTTGCACTCAGGGAAATGTTTTCTTTTAGATTTAACAACTAGTATTGCCAGTAATGCAGATTATAATTTTATTTTTAATAATTATAAAAATATTGATAAAATTATCAAATAAATGTTTGGGTCAGAATTACTAAATGGTATCGCTATGTAATAAACATAAATTTTAATTGTTGCAAAAGTTAAAATATTAAATTTCTTATCATGTTATGATCGCAAGACAGCGGAGTGATAACATGGAAGTGAGAAAATCGCATTGTCAAAAAAGCTGCAATAACATATTTGAAATGAATTGGGATTGGTCCTGTCAGTGAAACCAGGAGAAAAAGATAGAATGTGTAATATTGTGGTAAAGATTAAATATTCTACATTGTTTTTTTATTGAATTGCAATTGTTGTGCAAGGATACAGCACTCTCATGCTGCAGGAGATTTTACTGCAGGTTGTAGTGAGCTATTGTTTTTGTAAAATTTCTCTAAAAAAAGTCATAAATTTGAAAACCACTGTGGGAATCACTTCAGAACATATCAATTGAGGATTACTACAAAGTCCATGATTCAACTATTATTTATTTTTGAGAAATTCAATTAAAAAAATGCCATGTATCTGCTGGATACATGCACAACTAAATAAGAGTTAAATACTTAATTTAAAATGTTGAAATGTTTATCAAATAATTTATGCTTATGAAAATGGGTGAGCAAAGTTCAAAAGTATTTGGACTTATTTGAATAAAATCATAATTTTATATCATTGTTATTCTGTTTATTTTCTAACTAAAGACAATATTTTTTTTCTTTTTAAATAAATAAAATTGTTATGAAAAAAATTAATTTGATTTGTTTGATATTTATTTATTTATTTTTACAAAAAAAAAAAGGCAATGTCTCATAGACAATAAGTGCCTCCCTCAGCACAACAATTAGATAAACATATCTGGTTAACAATCATAGAACAAAATTATTATAAAAAACTCAAATAAATTATACTGTGTAAGTAGCAATGCATTTCTAAACTGGTCCGAAGAAAAATGTAAGTACAGTCTTCTGAAAAGAATGATACAAACATCTATTTATTTGTTGCCTCTAGGAAGCACCATAAACAAAAATGGCAACTCACAGAGAGAGTGGTTTGTGTTCTGCAGTTTATAGAGTCAAAATCAGTTCATGGTGGATCACTTTTAAATTATCTGAAAAACTCAAAAAATGTATCAAAAATCATGTTCCACATGTTTGTTTATGGTACTTTCTATATGCAGTAGATAAAAAGATGTTGGTATGCAGGTGGTAGCTGAAATTTGGACATTTCCACTATTGATTGGTATGAGTAATAATTAACATAATTACAGTAATTTAAAATGGTATAATTCTTTTTGAAAGATTCTGTAAATATACATAGTTAGATTTTGCGTTATGACTTTCTGGCTTACAATAATCCATACTATGACAGATAAAACTAGTATCAGTGTATGAAGAAAATTATTTTCAGAACAAAACAATCAGTCACACTCAACTCAATTCCATATTACCTAAATATTAAAAAATAAAGTACTTACGTCTACAATCCTGAAGTTTTGGATTGCCATAATGTCTGTCTAAACATTCACCACAGTTCCATCCTCCAGTATTTCCCAAACACCTTAAACACTGCCCTGTAACATGATCACAATAACCACTAATGGAAGTATCTACATTATTATTACAGTCACAGACTTGACAAAAACCACCAGGAACTTTAGGATTGCCAAAATAACCATCACTGCATCTAAAAGCAAATATATGGCCTAATTAATCATCATAAAAACAAATGAATGAAAGTACTTGAAAATAGAATAATTTTATAAATTGAAATAAATTGAATATTATTCTATTTTCAATTTATTTCACCTTAAATGTCATTTCTTTTATTAGTTTATTTATAAAAAACAGGTTTTCTTCCAAATGTTAAAATATTTTTAATTGTTTTTAAACTAATTCATAGTAGTTTTAATATTACCTTTCACATTTATTTCCTTCATATCCAGGAGGACATGACAAACAAATATAATCTTTTACACCTGCTTCAGGTGTAATTTCTCTGCATGTTGGAGAAAAATTATTTTCTGGGTTCTCTAATGGACAAGCACATCGTTTACAATCTCCTGATGTTCCTTCTCTTGCATCACCATAATAACCTGGTAAACAACGATCACATTTATCTCCAGTGGTATGATGCAGACAATTCTATAATGAAAATTTTGTCTTATTAAAATATAAATATTATAATTATTCTTAAGATATTTTATGATGATAATTTAATTATAATTTATTCAATCTAGAACAAGCTGTAAAGTCAATAACTGTACATTTCACATTTTACTTAATATATTTTTATTCAGACATCTCCAAAACTTCAATCAAAATCCAAATTATAAGAAAATTATAATTTATCAGAGTAAATTCCTTAACTCTCATCCAGGCATGGCAATTTTTGTAAAGTCATTTGGTGCATTGTATCAACTGGATACATAAAGCAAATTAATGAAATTCTTATATTTTTATTGATATATGCTTGACAATTATTATATCTTCTATTTCTACATTTTCTCTACTATCTAACAGTATAAAATACTTATGGGTTAAAAAATAAGATTTATATTTATATTTTCTGTACAGTAATTTGATCTGTAAATGCAAAAAACTAAACTTATTAAATATCATCTTACTATAAATAATTTCAACTTTCACTTATTTTATTAAATTTCACAGGATCTTATTATTTTTCAACTTCAGGGTAGTAAAGCTTTGTATATTTTCTCCCGCAAAAGTAATAGACTCTACTACTTCCCCACCATGAAGGACAACAAAGTGCTAATCATTTTATTACTTTTATTTTATTATTATTATTTTATTACATTGTTTTCAAAAACNATCTCAAGAATGGGAAGGCCAGGTGGCCGAGCGGTCAAGGTGGCAGCCTACCGCTCAGGGGGACCTGGAATCAAATCCAGATGGGTTGAAATTCCCCAGAAATTTTTCAGGGGGGGGTCCAACTGGATATGTCAGACCACCCCATCTCTCACCACCTGGCTGCCCCATTGTAGGCCTGGCTGCACCCATAATGGGTTTGCTAAAAGAGGCCCTCTCAGTGCTCACAGGGTGTTAAAAATAAACAAAAATTTCAAGAATGGTGTTAGATAGATAAAAGATGAGACCAGATATAGAAACTTTAGGGGCAGGATGCCCCAGTTAACTATATTCAAATGTTTGATACAAATCCGAAGTAATGTTGTAATGTTATTTCAATTCAAAAATTTTCTCCTAAAAGGGCACTAGATAGATGACCAGCACAACTCTATTGTCAAAGGAAAAGTATGATGTACAAGGGTAAGCTATTACTAATTTGAGGTGGCGAGCATATATGTTAAATTAAATAAATTAAAAATTGCAGTCTGGCATTGCGATGATGTCATGGTAAATAATTGCTCATAATATTTATAATTTCATTTGTTTAAAAAAATCTAAAAAAGAATTCTCATAAAACTGATAATGGTAATATTTGCTAATAAGTGTAGTACTTGATGACACAAAGTAAATCTAAAGTCAAACTTGGCTAAGATTTCAGTCATTTATTTTCATTTAAGATATTTTGAAACAGATATATTTTGCAGAAATCTCCAAATTTCCAATCAAAATTCAAAATTATAAGAAAATTATGCATTATTGAAATGAAATCTTTAAAAATTTTACTTCAATGAAAATTTATATAATTTTCTTTTGACTAAAGTTTTGGCGATTTCTGAAGATTCAAGGTAATTCTGATATTTGAATGTTGTTGAGCAAAGAGGAAACTAATTAACAGTATTCTGAGATATGATTTCTTAACTAAATGCATAAAGAAAATAATCATGCACTTTTTGAAACTAATATGAGGCATTAGTATTGGGCATGGATAGGTAGCTTCCTGTTTTGTCTATCATGCTGTGTATACACTGTCTAAAAATTGCTTCTTTTGTCTTAAAATTTGGGTATTTTTGAAATGCTGGTTAATTGGTGTTTGCTTCAGTACCAATGATAAAAGTCATCCAGGTTAGAAATTTCATAAAATGATCTGATAAAAAAAATAAATACAGAGTAAAGATAAAAACTGGAAAGAAAATCAGTTCATACATTTGAATCTGTAGCAGGCAAAATTGTAAGGATAGTTAGTTTTGAATAGTTTAGAGTAATTATACTCTACAAATGTAAATATATTTTTAATGAACAATTGAATGGAAGATTATTACATCACACCCGGTATTATAACAGCCATACTTTAACCTTTTGATATCTTAACAGTTTACATTTTAAACACTAATAACACAATGCTAAGAAATAGTGAACTTTCAGAAGCTGAAATTTGAAATATACAAGGGGGTGCAAAAGTAGGTATACAGTTGAGAATCTGAGAAATACAAATGTTTGGTGTTCATTATTATTATTTTTATTATCTTTTATTAGTTTTTCCTTAGTCCTTATTTGTGATTTAATTTGTACATAAAAATAAATGTTTTTTCTTCAGAAGATTTCAAATACAGTTAATTTCAAAAACAGTTTAAAACTATTTTAATTATCATCAAACATTAATGACAATGATTAACATTGTTTTGTTTTTATTATTATTTATCTAAAACTTCAAAAATATATTACAAATTACAGTTGAGAAATTAAAACTAAATTGTTGTTCTCATAATTCTGTAACAAGATTGAAAATGAAAGCCAACAACTGTAAAAGCATCAGTTTATACTTATTATTTTAAGCTTGTGTACCTTTCTAAAAGTTCTGCCTTTGACCCTGTTGTCTTGACTCCTAATTCAATTAATTTCTTTCATAACTCAGCAGCACATAACAATAAAATTCTTTAATTACATTGTACATTGTTTAAGTCCATGTTTTTATAAGTAAATTAAAATTTCCCATTCAGATTCCACTGTTTACTCACTACCAGAAGTTAAGTATACATCAAGCTGACACTAGCATCTCCAGCAGGAATGGATCTACATATGGACTAATAGGGCTTAAGTCCTGGGCCCCCAAATGTCAAGGGCCCACAAAAATTGAATTATCATCATAAATTTTTAATACTTTTTCATTAACAATGAGCACTTATCATATAGTAAAAATAGTTAACAGGTTTTTTTTACTCTTTTGCCCTGTGGGCACTAAGAAGGCCTTTTTTAGCAAGCCCATTAGAGGTTTGGCCTGGCCCATAATGGGGAAACCAAGTGGTGAGGGACAGAACCCAACATATCCAAATGAACAACTCCCCAAAAAATTCATGGAGATTTTTCAACACATCCAGATTTGATCCCAGGCCCCCCCAGAGAGTGGTAGACTGCCACCTTGACCACTTGGTTATAGTTAATAGATAAGGTTAGGTTTGGTAAAAATGTGGCCCTATTGGACTTCAATAAGCCCTAGGATGCAAAAAAACTGAGATCTGCCTCTGTTCTCAAGTAATGAGATTTAAATCCCATTAATGTAGAAGTATTTGGTGTTTAAGTGAAAAATAAATTAACATTTTATAATTTTATATAATATAAAGTTAAAAAAAAAGATAGTATCTGACCTGACACTCTCCAGTAATAGCATCACAGGATTCAGCATGATTATAGCAATCGCATTTTTGACAAACACCTCCAGGTAATGTACTATTTACACGTCTGAAACCTGGTACACATAACTTTAAAATACATAAAAATAATAGTAAATATAATGATTTACTCATCTTAATAAATAATGACAATGAAATTATACCTCACAAGATAGTCCTGTATAGCCTAATGGGCAAATGCATTTTTCAACAGCAACCATTTTCTTTAAGCTCTTGGAAGATTTAGATGCAGTTTCTAATCCAATGTCTTTTAAACTATAAAATCAATTGATAAATATTTTATATATAAAAATAATAAATTTATTTAAATTTCTCAATACATAGTAAAATTAAACATAAATATAAATCACTACAATTATCATGATACTTTATAATACACAACAATAATTTCAGTAAAAAGTCAGTATAATGAACACTTCCAGGATAGAACTGGACAGAACAAATCAAATACCATTTACAAACTCTGGTGTTAGTCCTGCAAAGAATGTACAGTACAGTATATTTCTAGCATTTCCAGTCAAATTTAACAGAATGTTTGAAGAATATCTGTTATATTTGAAAAAAATGCACATGCATCCACCAAGGAATAAAATTTAAATGAAATGTTCAAAAAACAATTAAAAACTAAAGGAAAAATGCAAATTCATCAAACTTGGATTTAAAAATGATCATCATCATAAAATTCCTGGACACTAACTAGATGACAGCATGGCTAAAAGAGAGCATCCTAGCAGGCTTGTCATGCTTATGAAATTGATCTTTCATCTTTGGTGTTGATGCATGTGCTCTAACATTCATAAGTGACTTTTGACTGTCAGTATATTTGTGTGAGGTCCCATCATGAAATCTGCAAAAGTTGGTTAATTTAGAGAAATATTTAATTGTTTAAGAAAGGCAGAAAAAATGTTTGTAGTTGGACACTTTTTGTTTATGTTAAAACTGCAATGCAGATTCATAAATCATAGAAAAAATATCGTCCTATGATCAATGAGAGATTGAATTCAGCTTTGATTTTGACCTCTCCTGCGCTCTAGGTGAGTTTAAGAACGCTTAGTAACAAAGGACCAGCCACTCGAAAAGCACAGATGAGGAAGATCAACCAATCGGAATGGCCGATAAAAGGAATGAGATTGATATAATCCCTGTCATTCAAAGACACATTGCACTTGGTTATTTAACATTCCAAATAACCAAGATGTTGTGTTCAATATGTAAGATGCAGTTTTTTGCAAATTGTGTCAATCCTTAACTTGTGCCATTACTGACTTAAACAGTGTTGCCTAAAACAACCACCAGTCTCCCCTCCTTCTAATGGATTTGGGGCTACCTTAGATCAGCAATCTCCAACAAACAACATTGAACACTCGGGACATCAGAACTGCCAATCATTCTACCAGTCTTTGATTTTGGAACAAATTGTTTTATATAGAGTAAGTTAATTTATGCTACAATAAACGGTTTTTGTTGTAAGGACATGTGTCATCTCTGCCTCCAGCACCACCACCCAAATACAAACAGTCCCTTAACTCTCCCTGACACGGGATTAACCATTTCCCCCCTGAAAGTCAGAAAACTCACACTGGTGTCTGAGGAATGGAATTTTAGGTCCCCAATCTCCACCAGGTCAGTGAACTCACAATTGTGGGGACACCAAAATACATTTGTTATAGTGAAATTTTCTCTCACTAAAATATAGTAAAATTGCCAGAATGTTGAAAAAGTTACTATATAATGAAAATGCTTACATCTTGAGAGAAAGGAATCTTTAAATTCTGTTTATCTTCAGTAGTTTTTTAATCTTGTCCATCATGGGCCAAGTCCACAACAGAAAGTGATAATGAGAAAGAGGCCCAACATATATACAATAGAATCACCTCTAAGATATTCTGAACAGACTGGGACTGGAACTGGAACCACCCCAAAGTGGCAAACTACTGTATTTACAGTTTCTGTGAAAAAGTAAAGTTAGTGCCTCTACAAAAAACATTTTGTGTTTTTGAGAATTCAATACCTTTGTCTTAGTGTGTGGCTAACATGCCTTTGTCATGTTTCTGTATTGTGTGCTTTATACTTATCTTACTTGCTTCATTAAAAATGATTTTGTTACTATAATCAGTCTTAATTATATATTTAAGCAGCAACTTAACCATCTGGCAATCTACATTTGTAAAAATAAAACTTTGTAGTCAGCACTCTCTTGAATAAACAGCTGACCAACAAAATATCACATACTCCTCTCCAGAATAATCATTATTTATTGCTGAAACTAGCCAATAATTTTCAATTGTACTGTATGTATAGTCAAAGTCTTTTCCATAAATCCATGAATTGTCACAGTATTCTAACATTCTACCTGGCATATCTTTTCACTTTAACAGAAAATTGCACAGGCTTTACATTATATTAATTAACTATGCTAAAATGTACAGTAATGACACTACACTAGAAACTAAATCAACCATTATCTAAGTTTTCTTAATTATAGACTAAAATTAATATATATAGGTAAATGTCTCTTCAATCCGAACAAAATTTCGGTAGACTTTCTCACTTGTTCGGATTGAAGAGACATTTACCTATATAATACGTAATACAGCTACCATTTGAAATTCAACAATAAAATTAATATATACAAGAGATTATTTACAGATTAATTTAGATTAATTTGATAACTATTCTGAAGATAGAATTCTAATCCTAAAAATTTTATATAAAATGAAAATAATTCTATAAAAATGGAGCATGTTTACAATTCTTATATAAACATATAAACTTAAAATATCACATTAAAATATATTACTTATTAAAACATCATAAAAAAAATTTTCTTACATTCCTTCCACTTGATCTGTATGAAATTTTGCACGAATAAGAAGTCTATTTACATTATTCAGAACAAATGTAAATGTTTCTCTGCTAACAGGACTTGCTCGACCTGTACTTGTAATATAGAACCAATTTTGTTCTCTCAAAGGCATTCTGATAGTAAAAGTGTCTTCTTCTGGATGCATACCCCAATTATATCCAAGACGTACATTATTACCCTAAGTACAATATTAAATAATCTAAATTTCAAAAGTTATAAATAAAATATATTTAAATATTAAAGATACACATTATTTAAATATATAATTGTACCTCTAATATTACATCTGGATCTTCTGTATATTGACCTGATGTGTCACCTCTAGCTATGATATATCTAATACGGAATGATAATTCTCCTCCATATGAATATAACTATAAAATTAAGTATATACAATAAATTATTAATTTATTTTATGAAATATTTATATTATTTTAACTATCATGAAAGATACTTTTGCAACAAACTACTTTCAGTAATTTGTACTTTGATAAACTTAAATAACTTTATTGATTACAAGTTACTTAATAAATCATATTTTTACCATGTAATAATATTCAAATCAAAACATTGCAAAGAACTAATATACTAATATTTTTTAAATTTTATATATATTATTCATTTTTGAGAATTAAGAAATTAATCATAATGATATTTGCTGGCTATTTCAACTTAGGAGTACACAACTTTTCAATATGTGACTTCTGCAGTTAGATGTCAAATACATATGATTTTTGAATTTTGATTCTTTAATTAGTGAACCTTCCTTATAATTCTTTGATCTTGTGTGATTTCTAGGTTATTCTAATTAGAATATAAATATTACAATAACAACTGAATGATAAAAGTCCAAATCATTATGATTTGTTTTGATATTATTTTGTGAAAAATTTATTTTTATGCTCAGTGCTGGCTTGCTGGTAACTTGTATCTGAGTCAAAACCTATTTTTGCTGTCCCTACTTTTAGAAGAGTTGCTTATAGAGAGCACTTTTAGCACTGGCAATCTTCTATGAACTTAAATTAACACATCAAAAACCTTTAAATTTCCAGTACGAAACGAATATAGTCACTGAACTAACATTTTCGATCTTTAACCAAGATCTTCATTAGGTTCATTGTCATTCTAAAAATGGAATGTTGAGAATATAGAACATTTTTTAATACAAAATTCAATCTTCTTCAGTATGTAATAAAGAGCAAAAATTTTCATTTTGTACCGGAAATTTAAAGGTTTTGGATGTGTTAATTTTATATGTACCAGTATTTATTGGTAAATTTTGTCTTTTATGAACTATTTATAAACAACTATAAAGGACATTTATGGGACTTTGCTGTATTCAGATAATTATTTTTATTTATTCTTTGATGCTCATTTTGCTGCATCTCTCAATTTGTCACTTGAGACAATTACCTGATTGCCTCTCCCATCAAGCCAACCTTGTTTGGAATATAATTCAAATTGTTTTTAACTTGTTATATTTTTTTAGTTTAGAAAGTTTTCTGATGTTCAATCTTATTATCAGTTATTACCACTTTAATCTAAGAGAAATTTTTAGTTAATTGCATTTTACTTAAAAATAAATATATTATCTTAAAGTCATTATATTCATATTGATATGAGTATCAATAGAAATTTAAATGCTTATCCATCATCAAAGATTATAATAAAACACAGCTAAAATAATACAAATATTATTACAATTATTGTTGGAAATTGACATTCAAGCCTATTTTTTATACAACAAAAACTAAAAGTCATATAAAAAGATAACAAGGTAATTAGAACAGCTTAAAAAATCAATTAATATAGAATAAAGTTTGTATAATATTATGGATTACTTTAATAATATATAAAATTAAACCATAAAAATAGCCCTTAATTTCAGCTTTTTGGTTAATCATTATTCAGTATGTACTAGGCTTAAATTTGTTATTATATATAAATAAATCTTATAAATCAGATAAATTTATGTAGATGACACCATAAATTTCTTCACATTTAAGTTTAAAGTTCTTTTGAAGACTATATAATCCTTGATAATTTTTATGTGTAAAATACTTATAAAAGTTATTAAACTCAGGACTCCCTCAATGGGTGAGGCAATAGGTCAACAGGCAGTCACCCTGTTGCCCTATTTATAAAAAAAGAAGTTTACTTTTATTATTTATTGTACAGTTCAAAGAATATATTTCATCCATTGATAAAAACTTAATTCTGTATTAAGTTTTTATTGGTACAAACTGAGTATCATGCTCTACGTTTTTGGAAAAAGAATATGACATCAAAAATTCCTTTGGCATTTTTAACATACATATTATGATTAAGCAAAAAAAATATGTTGAGTATATTGGTAGGGAAATTAATTTTTATACTGGCAGTGAGTGTGTTATAGTTGTTTATAAATAGGTCATATAAAAGTTCCAGTGCTAGAAGTGCTTTCTATTGGCAACCATTCTGGAAACACAAGTAGGAAAAATCAGTTTTATCTCAGGTGAAAGCTCAAGCCAAAGTACTGATTAGACTATCAACATAGAGGCAATAATGATATGTATTTAGTCAGAACAGCAGGAGAAGTGTCTACTGAACTGATTCAAAGGTAAAAATAATTATTTTTAAACCATAAGCTTCAAATTAAAAAATGATATTTGAAATTACTATTAATATTAAAATATGTAAGATATTAACATTTTTACATATACTAATTGTAACCTATCAAAATGACAAAAGAAAAAATAAAATTCATCAATTTTAAACTAGACAAAGCATCAAAGTAACTTATTTTCTTGAATTGAATTGAAACTAAAAAATTATTATAAATTTAATTATTCTATAAAAATTTGAATTCAAATGCAGCAGATTCCACCAATAAAAAAAAATGATTTGTGTAGAGATTCAGATGTACAGACATAATAGGATATTTTACTATTAGATGTAGAAAAAATTCTCAATATTAAATTATTATTTAACAAATTTTAGGATATTATTAATGATAATTAACATATATGCTTTATTTTTCTTACCTTCTTTCCTATATAATCTTTTGGAGCTAACCAATAATAATTATCATAAGGTAGCATATCATCATTAGCAATCATAAATTGCTTATTATGCATAGTAGGATAAGCAATTCGATGTCCATCAATATCTGTCACTAACCATCCTTCTGTTTTAGTAATCTGAAAATTTTAAATTTGTAATATTATATTTACTTTAATTAGAATTTTCATTAAAAATAATCAATGCCCTGCCAAAATAAATAGAACATGATAACATTTGGAGAAATTAATATCAAGTGTATAATTATTAATTTTCTAATTGATAAAGTATAGCTTATAAATTTTATTTACAACTTTTTTATATAATTTATAACTTACAAT